AAAAAAAAAAGAGAAAAAGAACTGTGCAAACAAGCTTAAAACTATTTCTTTGTGCCAGTGTTATAAAATGTACGTTTTCAATAAAGCCTTGACCCAAATGCCAGGACTTGTGGAAAGAATCAGAACAAAACTGGTTACTTTATTTAGGAAAAAAATACTCTTATCTTGCTGCTAATAAAATCGGATACACGCAGTTTAAACATTTACAGTTGCTGGAACACTTTACACAATTCCTATATATGGGTGTAAGAACAAACATTAAAAGACAATGGTGGGTCAAGGCTTTACATTAAAAATAACAACCTACTTTTTCTATAGTCTCTAAAATACTATGTTTTTTCCAATATTTGCAGCCATTCAGGAATATTTTTTATTTATTTATTAGGAAATGTATACTTTGTGCATGATCTTAATTCCTAATTCCTGGCTCTTTGGGCTGAATGACAAAAGGATCAAACCCATTGAAGTGGATGGTCTCCTTGGAGGTTCAGTGGAGAAACCCTGGCTCAGTTAGTCTCGTAGGACGAAAGCAGTGCTGCATCCACCGGCTCCATGCAGGAGGGACAGGTAAAGGATCTCATCAACCAGTCATCTATACAGTCCAGGTGGTAGATGTGCATGCACGGCAGAAATCGGATAGGGTCCCCGTAAACAAAGTCCATCATACAAATGACACATCTGTGGGGGGGAAAAAGAAACCATCACAATATTTAAACTGCTGTTGCGACACTGGAAATGCACAGTAGCGTGGTGTCTACTCCCGGGCACGTGCGATTCACACAAACCAGCAGCACGTGTAGACAGCGCGCGGCGTTCTGACCCCCAGCTCCACCCCGCACCGGGTTGTTCCCTGCTTCCCCTGCAGGACACGTGCCCGCGGTTAACGCCAGCGAGGGTGGGAAGCCTTCCGTAGGGATGGCGGGGGCAGCTCAGCAGCACATGCGAAATTACAAGTGGGGAAAGTAGTAACTAACATGAAATTATTTCCCGGGGAAGAGAGGGTAAAGCGGAGAAAAAAAAATTCTTCCAAGGGCATGAATTGCACAGGTTGGGCAAGGAAGTTTCCCCTGTAACAGGAAAACAAGGAGAAAGGAGCCTTCTGCATGGTCATTTTTTTCAGAAAGCTGCATTAAATTACAGTCCCTGAAAATAGGCTGAACCAGGACCGAGATCAGGTTTCCCAGGGCAACACTGGAGACCGACGTGAGAGGCACGCGAGTTCGGTTGGGTTTCTGTAACTTACTCTCTGATCTTCTTCTCGGAGCCGTCTCGTCCAGGATCATAGACTCCTTTAGGTAGATGCTGAATAAGGCCTATCCTCTGCGCTATTCTGATCTGTTCCTCTTCTGTCAGCTGCGTCGCCAGCCGGGTCTGGCTCGGAGTCGGGTGATAAACAGGAACAGGGACCTGCTCCTGAAATTAAAATATTTTGGTTAAATACCCACAGCAGCTTTCCCAGTACAGGCCATGCACGGAACTCTTCCTCTCTCTGTCCTGCACGTGTTTGTATGGCCTCCTGCTCCACCTCTGCAGTGCTGGGGCTACCGTCATACTGAGGGTGGGATAAAGAACTGAGGTCAGCATCCTCGGCAAGGAGCTGCGTGCGGCTGTTGTTTGAAAATGCTTTCCATCTCCAGGAACCGTTCCTACATGGATACACAGACGACAGACTCCGGGTGACAGCAGGCAAATAAACCTTGGGGGCACCTGGCGGGACACCACACTGGCTGAGGAAGAGCCCCCAGGATTTGCGACAGGAAGTAGATTTTTTTTTTTTAAACATTTAGGAAGAACTATTTGCAAAGTTGAATCACAGAATGGTTTGGGTTGGAAGGAAAAAAATCACCCAGTCCCACCCCCCCTGCCATGGGCAGGGACACCTTCCACTAGACCAGGTTGCTCCAAGCCTCATCCAGCCTGGCCTTGGACACTTCCAGGGATGAGGCATCCACAGCTTCTCTGGGCAACCTGTTCCAGTGCCTCCCCACCCTCTCCAGGAAGAACTTCTTCCTGATATCCAATCTGAGGACAGCACCTACTAAGGGTTTTAGAGAGGAAGGTTTTATCGGTTCTGTAAGAACTAAAATTCATGTGAACTGTTCTGCACCACCAGAACTGTGGATTTAGTTCTTGTGTGTTTGAAGAATGTCACCTGGACAATAAAAAGAACAGCTTACGTTTTACCTTTGTTCTCATACATTAACACGATTTTACAAGTTCTCCCCAGCTGGACTCCAACCACTGGATGTTTAAAGTACCTATTTCCCAAACAAAAACCAGGCAACACGTAGGTATTACACAATCCTTCCTCTGCCACGCTCTCGGAAGTGTCTTTGGAATCTCAGCGAACTTTAGAGCAGGCGTTTTCTATTAACACGGTACTCATTTCACTTGCTTTTAAAGCACTTCTTTGGCCTAAGTACGTTTTGCACAGGAGAGACTGTTAGGACAGTATCGGCCGGGAGCCGTAACTCGAGTGTTAACGGGGAGACGATCTCTGGCAACAGGTCTGTTTTAATGGAACTTCTTAAACAGCAGGAAAAAAAAAAAAAAACAACTTACAGGAGTATTTGAAAGCAAACCTGTGCCTCAGGGACACAGCAGCATCAATGCACCTGTCTGAGAAACACTAAAGTTGACGTCTCGGAGGGCAGCGCTGCAGAACAAGCCGACCGCAGGAGCGCGGGCAGCTGCTCCGCGGGACGCGCCGATGCGGCTCACCTTGCCTCCGACAAAGTTCCCATCGCCCAACTCCCGCTCGCTCGTCACTGACGTGAGCAGACAGAGGCTCCAGGATGGGGCAGCCACCTTTTAAAGGTGCGTGTCCTCCCAAAGCGCGGGCTGCTGCGGGTGCCTCCAGGCAGTCCCAGCAGCAGGAGCTGCCTTTCCCTCTCCTGGTCCCTCTTCCCTGCGGCCCTGCTCCAGCAACGGCCCAGCGCAGCGTTCAGCCAACACCGACACCCAGCAGTCGGGACACGGGCCTTTACACACGTCATGCTGCGCTTGCACGGCCTGACAGAGCGATTCTTCTTCCGCTGGCAAGCGGGAAACAGGCAGGACTGGCAGAGGGCTGGGAGAAAGCAGCTCGTGCCGGCCACGGCCGGGGTGCCCCGCAGCAGAAGCCCTTCCTCGGGAGAAGCCCTGATCACAGCTGCTGCCGGGCAGCTCCTCTGCTGACGCTGTGCCTACCTCCCGCAATCCAGCTGCAGGGTAGAGTGCTCCTCATTCATCTACACTAGGATTTCCCCCTCCGATTTCCTAGCAGATCTCCAAGGTTGGAAAGCCAAAATGCCAGCAAATCTAAATTTGATCAACTTCCTGACTAAACTGTATTTCACAGCATCACAGATTTCTCCCACATCAGCTGCCTTTTAATCGTTTAAATCAGCTGAACTCGTCTCTGGTCATTGTTTGGATAGGGAAAAGCACCAGCTGAGGCTAGGGATGACCTGTCGGATGGAACAGTATTCATGAAGTGGCTCTGCAACCCTGGGTGCCAGCAAAATAAAGCCCTTTTTCCCCTCCCACAAGCTGCAGACCCTCTGCACTGAACACATCAGCTCAGGGCAGAGCCCAGTCCTGCTGTTATGGTTCAAGGCCTTAACACCACAAACTCAATAACTTTTTACTCCCCACCCCGAGGCTTTGCTATACATCTTGAGACAGATTATTAAATTAGCAGCACAAGACATTACCGCCAGCTCCTTTATTTGTTACGAAGGTGTACAGACTGCTCGGAATTCGGAGAGAGGGGCACCCTCCTTGGTGGAAAACAGCAGTGTAACTCATCACGCCTGGCCCAGGCTGTGCTAACAAGGGCAGGAGGAGGCTGCTGCATCCGACAGCTCCCCTTGGCAAAACCATGAGTGTGAGAGGTGATGCAGGGACACAAGGAAACAGAGAAACAGGAGGAGGAGAAGAGACCCAAGAAACTCCCAAAATGTCTGAAAGCAGGAGCGAGAACCGACAGTGAAGGCCTACTGTGGACCAACAGCAAACTGACCACCTCAGCCGAAGTGATGCAGCAAGAGGAAACTGCAGCTCGGGAACGATCTGCTGGGAGTTAAAACTATCCCGCTGGGACAACACCGAAACAAGAAATCAGTCATGCTATCCACCCCACGACTGCTTCGGGTAGTTCTGGACAGTAAATTAACACAACCTTTAATAGGCCAAACAAGAACAAAACCCATTCCTGCGTTCCAGTCTTTTCCAGTCACTTGCTGCAAGCGACCACTGAGGGACCCATTCCTGAGGGACCCATTCCTGCATCACCCCAGTGCCCCTCTCCCATGGGCGTCACTTTCCCCACTGAGACCTAAGAGGGACCTGCCGGATGGACCCCCCCAGGTCCCCTGCCTGATGCCAAACACACAAACGCTTTCCCGGCCGGCAGCGCCGCACGGGAACACTGCCCTTGGCGCCCCGTCTCAGGCTCCCTCCCAGCAGAGCCACCACCCTGCCCCGCGTGTCTGACACAACCAGTTACGGCAGGAATTTACAGTTGCCAGCTGTGAGCTTCTACAACTTCACACACCAGATGAGAATCCCTTCTCAGACGGTAACTCTGGGTGAAAGCGGTGCTGTCTTGCACCACGACGTCTCCGTGCTTGTGAATGCAAAGCATCGGGGTTGGTGTGGCTGTAGTGAAAGAGGCATAAACTGTACCACTGTAAGCAGAAGAGGTGGCCGTTGGACACCCACCGTCTGCTGCGCCCCCTTCCCACGCCGTCTGGTGGTACTTTAATCCTGCCCCCAAATTACTATTCAAAGCCTGCCCAAACCCGCTCACTGCTCCCACTCGCTCCAGCGTGGATACTCAAGGGTAACCACGTGAGGATGGGAGATGCCAGTCAACTGACATTTGGAGCTACAGGCCCCCTGACACGTGTATATACATAAAAGACGGTATTATCCAAGTAATTATTCTTCTGCTCCAACGACGAGCATGAATTTATTGCTTGTGTCTCGCTCTGCCCTTATCTACCATGGAAAGTGTTTTTGCAGATGAAATTACGAAACGCTGAACTTCTAGCCAAAGTCTGTTAGCTATCGTTTGATAAAAGATGTCAGGCATTTCAAACAAAGATGAAATTTCACGTTAACTCTATTCCCCCATGCAAAAAAAAAAAAAAGCGTATGGCCAAAACAAACAATAAAACCCAAGTATTAGTGTCAGGCAGTGAAATAAAAATCACTTTCTGGCACTCAATTTGCTTTAATCAATTATTTTTTCCCCCCTATGAATTCAGTCATGACGAATAAAACCCACGTATTAGTGTCAGGCAGTGAAATTTCTGGCACTCAATTTGCTTTAATCAATTATTTTTTCCCCCCTATGAATTCAGTCATGACGAAACATCTCAGATGGCCGCAATCCAGGAGATACACAACATGTTCACAAAGTAGGTGGTGTCAGCAGACCCTGCCTTGGCTTTCTGTGCACAGACACCATCCCTTCCTAATGTTTATTCAGCCCTTAAGGCACGGCGTTAATTTAGATTCCCGGACTAGAGCTGGGTTTTTCCTCCATCTCACCCTGGGCTCCTCCTCCTTTAGGGGGAAAAAAACCCCAACATCTCAGAGGGCGCTTGGAGGTCTGCATTTTTCACTTCCAATGAAAATAAACATTTTCACACATGGCCTGAAAGGCCCAGACGCTGTGTTTCTGCGTGCACGTTCCCAAGCATGCGCTGGGTCCTTGCCTAGAAAAAGGAGATTTCACCACGCACGAGTTTTAGTTTGAAATTCTCTCATCAATGCAACTTACCTTGGTTACTTATGCTGCTATAAATCTGCTTTTCCCTTGTTTTACAGTATTTTCATCTCGTTTTTGCAAGTGCAATGAATTTGTAATACTCTGAAAACAGGTCAGTGGTAGATCAGAAACTCTTAATCACTGGATAAAGATTATTTTAAGATCCCTCTACACCACATTTCAGCAGTATGTTATCAGGGCTGTTTGTTGTTTTTAATAACTGCACCAACGTGCACAAATCATCCTTTCAGGAATGTCAAAGGTGAGATGAATAATCCATGACATGCAATAGCTGCAGAGGTTACAGCTTCACTGCTGTCCCCGAGATCCTGTCTGCAGCCACCTGCTTCACTACTGACCGCTTTGCTCCCTTTCCATCTCTCATTTTCTCCCTCCTCTAATCCGATGCTCTTGCTATGTCCCACCCTGGGATATTTATTTCCATTTCAACACCAGAGCAATGGCATCTCTCTTCATTCAGTCCGACAAAGGAGACTTATGTTTATCCTCAGTCTTTTAAACACCGGACGGTATATATAGCGCTTAACACTCCTTGCGGTTGCTGCCCTATTAATTAATGCAAATGTAACAGCTCAATCTGAATTTCCCCAGCCGTTCCCACAGCTCTTTTTTGAACTCCCTTCGAGACGCAAATGTCTGT